AAAACCCTCCAAGTTTGGGGCAATAATTGACAAGGTGAAACACTAACCTTAGATAGAAATTGACGAACAAGAGAAGAAAAGGGGAAAGTATGAGCAATTGCAAAGGGGTACTCAAAGAAGCACACCCAACCAGGGGCAATCCAGTCAGCCCTCTCCCTAGAAGACGGGATTTTCACCACAACCCCATCAGGAAATCGCGTAACAGCAGCGATATTCTAAACTTCCTCCTTCGTTACAGTAGAAGGATAAACATCTTTAGCAGGGAAGACGTTTTGCGCGACCAAAGTCGGCTTCTTCACACCCTCATCCACCCCAGCAAACACCACTCTTACAGGATCATCCATCACAAAATAAAAGAGAAAGCAACGAAGTGAAGGAACAGAGAAAACAGAGAAGAGAGAGAAAATACCTGATGAAAATCGAAATTGAGGCAAAGAGTAAAGTGACTAGACAAGAGCCTACACACCCAATAAATACTGAAGAAAGAAATAAACCGCCCTTCACTGTTACCGAGGAAATTGCCTTAAAACTGCCACCACGTTCCTTATTTTTGTTAGCCATTGAAATAATTTCTGAAAATTCGAAAATCCTTCTAACGGCTTCTTTAGGTAATTTTCACTTCCAATACTTGAAAATAAAAATTAGGGGCAATTGTTGGGCCCGTATTAACATACGACCCAGTATGCTTAGGGCACCGATCCAAAATCAAGGATTCAGCAAAATAAACAAGAATGGCTTGATTGGAGTAAACAAGGAAATCAACATCAAGAGTATCAATCAAGAGGATATTTGCCAAAGATACACTTACAGACCATGGAACAAAATAAATCAAGAGGATCTTCTACATTTTGAATATATTCTGAATATATATGTAAACCCTAGGGATTCCTAGGTATAAATAAGAAGAATTAGGCATTATAACACTCATGTACGCCCACATATAATTCAATATAAACAATTTGCTCTACTTTTATCTACGGAAGTGCGTCCCTGCTGAACAAGGAGGCTTGTCCTTACTCAGTATTGTATCTCTAAACTCATCTTCTTGATCTTATTGAATACTTACTGCTTACTTATTGATTATTTAATGCTTTATTATCGTTCTTATTTACTTTATATATTATTGGTGGAATGATTGTTATTACCCCTCAAAACCTAGCAAATTCTTCCATATCCTAGCTAAGATTTGCCTAAACAGACCACACCCTTTAGTCCCTGCCTTGCCCCATTCAGAAGCATTCGACCACTAGTCTAGGAACCCATCTAATTCGAAGCAACCAAAAATCAAATGGCATGTTTTCTTGTAATGAGAGCAGAGCATGCCCCACTTGTTAGTTTTGTCATCAAGTCCTGACTGCTTCCCCTTCCTTATGCTTGCAGTGTTGCTGGTTCAGAGAGCAAAACCTGTCGCATCACGTGGTTTTTCCTCCGGAATATGTTTGGAGATGCAGACTCGTTCATCTTGCAAACCAATTGATAGGCCCTATCGAGAGTAGGCAACGGGTCTTGAGAAAGAATGTTGCTACGAGTCTGAGAGTAGTAATCAGTACACAATCCTATTAAAAACTCGTAGAGACGAGAATTATATAGACGTTTCTCATATTCCAAACCTGCGGTGTATTTCTCACAGCAAGAAACAAGTAATAATAGGTTAATGGTTGTTTATTTCCTCCCTCAAGGCAGATAATTTACCAAAATATGAGGCCACTGACATAGACTTGGTCTACTCATATCGTGCAATCGAAGACTTCAATTGTTGTATCTGTGGTCCATTGATGAAAGCAAAGCGCATCTTAAGAGTATCCCACAAGCGCTTAGCATCCTTGTACTTCGACAAAGTACTCTTCACTTCGGGGTCAATAGTGTTCATAAGCCATGAAATTAGCATGGCATGAATTGTGTTCCAATCCGTTTGAGTACACGGAGAGGAAGGTGTAGTGATTGTTCCATTGAGGAAAACAAATTTATTACGTGCCTCCAACATGGTTTGAATATCACCGGCCCATTCATCATAATTTTCTCAACGAAGTCGGGTTGAAGTGATTAAATCACCGGTGTAATATCGATGCGCGGTGGTGGATCGGAGGCGGTGGTGTATCATCACCAGCCATGATGTTGATTGATTTGTGTTTGTTTTTGCTTTTTGTTTTTTTTTTTTCTGATCGATTAATTTCGATCCCTTGGCGACTAATACCATGTCATATTTTAGGGCTCAAAGCTCTTCTCATCATCCCAAATCAAACATATGGAGTTTGTTACATTATAATTTCACTTGTAATCATTGAAATTCTAGTGTAGTCTTATGACTTTTGACTAGCACAATTTTTTTAAATAGACGGTTTAGATTGTTTTATTTATTTATTTATGTTTAATAAGTAATTTGAAGTAAAAATTATTTTCCAATTATTTTATTTTTTTTATTTCCAGAATTTTTAAAATATTAAAAAAAAATTCAGAAAGATAAAAATATATTTTAAATAATTAAAAGTTTTTTTAAAATTATTTTTAATTAAAACTACTAATTAAAAATAAATTAATTAAACAAATAATCTCAATATTTCATTTTTAAAAATTATAGTAGTCAAAAGTCGTAAAACTATAATATAATCTTCTTTGTAATCATACAAACTCTATTCATTCTTCTAGGTTCAAAATTATCACCAATACCTCATTACTCCCTCCATCCCCAAAAATTGGCTCGTCTTGTGTGCGGCCGGCCATACCGTGTGACCACTTAAAGTAACCCCTATAACATTGATCAAGTAGCCCCTGTAATACCAATCAAGTAACCCCTATAACATTGACCGAGTAACTCTATAACAATGATGAAGTAACCCCTTTAACACTGATCAAGTAACCCCCATTACACTAGCAAAGTAAACCCTATAGTGGCTGGCCACACTATGTGGCCAGCCACATATAAGACTTTGTGTTACAACAATATTTGTGCAAAATTAGCTTCCCAATATAAAATTTTGTTTTTTCATGTATTTTTAATACTTTCTCAATCTACTTTTTTAAATTTATTTTTCCAATATACTTTTACTCTTTTTTATTAAACTTTCTTAATACCCGTAAATCAACCTAAAAGAGTCGTTCTTTGGGGACAGAAGGAGTATTATATATGGTAATTTAAGATGCATGAGAATACGAACGTATCTTTAAAATTCTTGATTATTCATTTTTATATGAAATTTATCCTAGAAAATACAACATATCTAGACATAAAGAATCGGTTTGTAATCTCTTTCTATACAAATTTAAAAGATGCTCTATCAAATATGAAATCTACAATATTTAATTTGGTCCTAATTTATTCTTTCTAAATTATGATTATTTCTTTTTTTTTCAAGAGATTTTTTTTTGTTTTTTTTTTTTATGAAATTTATTAACATGGGATTAACTCTCATGAATTATGTCTAATTGAATTTCTACATTAGCTTTTAAAACAGTAAACCTTATCTTTGTCATTTATATCAAGCAATCATCCAAAAGGATGGGTAATGTTTTCTCCTACCTTTGACCATACATCTCTTTGTCACTGAAATAATGTTATGGGCAGTTTTTAGGTCCGACCTGACTAACGACAAGTCGCGCGACCTAAAAGGCGAGGCGAGCACCGAGCATAACAGAATTCCCTTAAAGGGCGGATTGACCAAGTCTTAGGCGGATGTTCATTCACGCGCGTCAATCTCTAGAAACCAAGATATTTTCCTTAAAAGATAAGTCTGAGACCAAGTCCAAGCAACGACTCCCTACTCTCAAGGAAGATGTTAGACGACTCTAACGGCTATAGGAGTAGCATAGTTAACCTAATTTGTTCTATTATAAATAGGGAAGAAATTGTATCACATAGGATCATCTCACATCTAGCTTTTCAGAAGAAAAACTCTACTACACTCGTGTTAGTTATTATCATCATTGTAATCATCAGTCTTTCATAGTAAATCGGTGGTCTTGCACCCACCCGCAGTTTTTCCCGTGTTTGAGTTTTCTGCGTCATCAAATACCTTGTATTTTATTGCTTAATTTGCATATCACACATTTCATAGTCTAGTCGTCGTACGTCCCAGCCTTAGGTTGCCCTAGGCGAAATTTGGCATAAACAATTTGGCGCCCACCGTGGGTCGACGACTAGATAATCCGCCATAAAAAAAACAAACTCACATACACAGCCTTCCACATCGACCAGTCATCTCGTCACCATGGTTTCATCCGAAGACAACCCGACCATCGACCAACTCATGGAACAAATCCGCAAGACGCGAGAAGAGCTCGAGCAACAGAAAGCGGAGAACGCCAGAATCGCTGAAGAAAGTCAGAAGACCGCGGAGACACTCAAAAAAGAGTTAGATTCGGTCCGTAGCAACAACCGCCATCGCCATCGTCCTACCGATGACATTCCCGTCATGATGGACTTAGACACCGAAGGGGAGGACGAAGACGAAGAGGATGAAGAGGACCTCGACGACGAAGAAGGAGAGGGTGAGCCAGACCCTATAGCCTAGAGGTTGAGCATGATCGAGGCCCAGAACGCCAAGCTGATTCGCCTGCTGAAGAGGCTACCTGGAGCGCCCGTCCCGACGATTACCGAGGAAGCAGACGGTTTTGCCGCGTCGCCGTTCGTGGACGAAATCGCATTGGCAGACGTCCCCCGAAGACTCAACATCCCTCCTCCCGCGTCGCTCTACGATGGAAGCACCTGCCCGCTGGAGCATGTCAACCATTACAAGGAGCGAATGTGGCAGTACTCCATCCCTCGCAACCTGCTCGAGCCAGTCCTATGCAAATCTTTCGGAGCTACCCTTACCGGGCCCGCGCTTGAATGGATGTGCGACATCAAACGCGGCTCTATTGCTAACTTTCAAAATTTGTGTAACAGGTTCTACAGTAAATTCAATAACAGTTGCAAAGTTGAAAAGCAGACCAGCGACCTCTATCGCGTCATACAAACAAATGGCGAAACTATCAAATCTTACTTTAGCAGGTTCAACAAAGAAATGATCGGCATCAAAGGATATGACGTCCGTATAGCCATCGAAGCCTTCAAGAGAGGACTAACGGACGACTCAGAGCTATACAGGGAGCTGACTAAATATCCATGCACGACCTTTGAAGAAGTCAGAACCCGTGCCTTAGCACAGATGCGACTAGAGGATAATCTCGCCATCCGGAATGGCGTCCAACCGTTGCCAATCCCTAACAACGACAGAGTCTCTAGGAAGCATAACGACAGAAAGAACTGGCGTCATAGAACATATGACAAGCCAGGTCAGGTGAACGCAGTCAATAATGTTAAAACTAACGTTTCTCATGATTCTGCAAATAGTTCCCAGAAACAGGATGCCGACGCATACCCCGACATTGCTGAATATGGATTCTGCGTCGACATCGGGGGCGTGGTGAATGCCCTTCATTCTTTAGGAAATGTCGCCCGTTGGCCGAGGAAGAGCGACAGACCAGATGAGAACAAAGACAAATCCAAGTGGTGCGACTACCGTGGTGATCATGGCCATCGTACCGAAGATTGCAACGCCCTGAGAAAAGAGATAGCTTTCCTCTTGAAGAAGGGTCATCTCAAGGAGCTGCTAGGAAAAGGCAAATCAAGCAGCAAGGAAGCGACGACCCAGCAGCAAAAAGACCCTCAGCAGCCGCCAAAAGGACCAACGGTCACAAAGGTAGTCAATGTTATTACTGGTGGTTCTGATATTTGCGGACTAACCTATTCTGCAGCTAGGAAAATAGCAAGAACAGGTAATCCCGAAGAAGTCGTCCCCATGGACGCAAGATCGAACCAAGACAAAGCCCTAGAAGCAATGGTCCTCGCCTTTGACGAGTGTGACTTGGGAGACTATCGAGAAGAGCATCATGACTCTCTAGTGATATCTTTGACCATTGGCAATTGCCTGCTGAAAAGAGTGCTGGTCGACAGAGGAAGTTCATCCAATGTCCTTTTCAAAAGCACCCTGGAGGACATGGGTATCGATGCTAGAGACATCGTCAGAAAATCTACAGTCATCGTAGGTTTCAGTGGGGAAGCTCTCAATACAAGCGGAGAGATCGTGCTGCCAACCTTTGCTGGGGGCGTTAATCTTTCAACGCATTTCAACGTCGTAGATTGCCCGTCAGCCTACAATGCCATCATCGGTCGCCCCTGGATCCACAGAATGAAAGTCGTCCCGTCGACCTATCATCAAGTTATAAAATTTCCAACCAAATGGGGCGTGCAAATTATCAAGGGAGAAAGGCAAGAAGCTAGAAGATGCTACAGTTCTACATTGAAGACATCCAAAAGGACGGTATAGCAATTACAGAAAGGACCAGCGTCAGAAGAGCCCAACGAGCAAGCAATAGACAAAGTGGCGCTGGATCCCAATAAGCCAGAGCAGACTGTCCGAATTAGGGTGTCGCTCGACCTAGGTATAAGGACTAAACTTATTGAATTTCTTAAAGCTAACAAAGACTGCTTCGCTTGGTTGCATGAAGATATGACAGGTATCAGTCCCGGCATGATTACTCACAAGCTAAACGTCAATCCCAATCATAAGCCAATCAAGCAGAAGCGACGTAAGTTTGCGCCAGAACGAAATCAAGTGATCAACGACGAGGTACAAAAGCTGATCGAAACAGGGAAGATAAGAGAAGTCAAGTACCTCGACTGGTTAGCAAACGCCGTGGTAGTCAGCAAGAAAAACAAAAAGTGGAGAGTCTGCATAGACTTCACTGACTTAAACAAAGCCTGTCCTAAAGACCCGTTCCCTTTACCATATATCGATGCAATGGTTGACGCAACCTCTGGACACGAGTTACTCACGTTCATGGGCGCGTATTCTGGGTACAACCAGATACTGATGCATCCAGACGACCAAGAAAAGACAGCCTTCATTACGGACAAAGGGATCTATTGTTACAAAGTTATGTCGTTCGGACTGAAGAACGCGGGAGCGACTTACCAAAGGCTCGTCAACAAGATGTTCAAAGAACAGTTAGGGGACACAATTGAAGTATACATCGATGACATGCTATTAAAATCCAAGAAGGCGGAAGATCATATCAGCCATCTCAAGCAATCCTTCGATGTCCTAAGGCAATATGGTATGAAACTAAACCCCACTAAATGTTCTTTTGGAGTGTCCGCAGGAAAATTCTAGGGATATGTCGTAACTCAAAGAGGGATTGAAGCAAGTCCCGATCAAATCAAAGCAATCATCAACATCTAATCCCCTAGAAACGTCAAAGAAGTGCAGAAGTTGACAGGACGCGTCGCAGCACTCAACAGGTTCATAAGCAAGTTGTCCGACAGATGTCGCCCGTTTTACAACGTCCTTAGAAAAAACAAAGACTTCCTATGGACAGAGAAACACGAGAAAGCCCTACAAGACCTCAAAAAATACATGGTGTCGCACCCTCTACTGTCCAAACCAAAAGAACACGAGACACTGCAATTATACTTGGCCATCAACACGACGTCTGTTAGCGCAGTATTATCAAGGGAAGACGATAATCAACAACTGCCTGTGTACTACGTCAGTAAGTCTCTGCTCGACGCAGAGACCAGGTATTCCGCCCTCGAAAAATTAGTACTTGCTTTGACAACAGATGTTAAAAAGTTGAGACATTATTTCGAAACCCACCCGGTGGTGGTACGCACTAATTTTCCTCTTAAGTCTGTATTGCGCAGCCCCGATCTGACAGGCAGGTTAGGCAAATGGAGCGTCACTCTCAGCGGATACGATATCAAGTACCAGCTAAGGACGGCCATAAAGTCCCAAGCCCTTGCGGATTTCGTGGAAGATTTCAGCCCATAATTAGAACCCCTGGCTACCCAGGAAGTCAAAGAAATCAACAATGCTCAGAAGGAAGCGATATAGACGATGTTCTGCAATGGCTCGTCGAACCAGAGAGGTGTCGGGCTAGGTGTCGTGCTAAAATCGCCACAGGGTGACATGATAGTACAATCCATCAGCTGCAACTTCAAAGCGACAAACAACGAAGCAGAATACGAAGCTCTAATTACAGGCATGACCATCGCACTGGACTTAAGCGCGACGGGCTTAACCGTTTACAGTGACTCGCTATTGATCGTCAGCCAACTGAACGGGGAATTCGCAGCCAAAGATTCAAAATGATGGCTTACTTAGAGGCCGCCAAGAAAAAAGCTAAGCAGTTTAGCCCGTTCACAATCAAGCAAATCCCAAGAGACAAGAACACTCAAGCTGACGCCCTAGCCAACCTAGGTTCGGCCCTCAGAAAGTCGCCCTTCAGCACCATCCCTCTGGTCCACCTTCAAAGGTCGTCGGTCGACACATCACAGATACCCGATGTAGCAACAATAGACGCGACCCCAAATTGGACGACGCAAATCATCCAATACTTGAGAAACGATGTTCTACCTAACGATCCTCTAGAGGCAAGAAAGATCAGGTACAAAGCCTCTAGATATACCATCAAACATGATGTATTGTTCAAAATATCATCTACAGGTCTTTAGAAAAGGTGTCTCGCCGGCGACGAGCAACAAGAAGTCCTACAAGAGCAACACGACGGAGAATGCGGCAACCACTCTGGAGGTCGCAGTCTAGCAAACAAGGTCTTGCGAGTGGGTTACTTTTGGCCGACTCTGAAGAAAGACGCTGAAACCTATGTAGCGAAGTGCGAAGGCTGTCAAAGATTTACCGAAGATTCTGCGACAAGTGGAACATCAAGCTTTGCACGTCAACACCTCGGTATCCACAAGCGAATGGCCAAGCTGAGTTAAGCAACAAGACAATCATCCAATCGCTCAAGAAGCGACTTAAGAAGGCCAAGGGAAAGTGGGCAGAAGCCCGTCGATCCTGTGGGCAAATAGGACGACCCCAAGAACGTCAACAAGACAGACGCCATTCTCACTCGTCTATGGATGCGAAGCAGTCCTACCATCTGAGATACGTATTCCAACCGCAAGATATGGTCTCATGACAGGCGAACAAAATAACATAGAAATGTCATCCAACCTCGACACATCAGAGGAACTAAGAGAGGCAGCATATTTAAGGATGGCAGCACAGCAACAAATCGTCGCATGAAGCTTCAACAAGAACGTCAAAGCCAAAGTGTTCAGAATCGAGGACTGGGTGCTAAGAAAAGTCTTCCAAAACACCAAGGACCCAGCAGACGGAAAGCTAGGCCCGACGTGGGAAGGACCATACCAGATCCTCGATGTCGCAGGCAAAGGAGCATACAGACTCATGACCAAGGAAGGTAAGGTCGTTCCTCGAAGCTGGAACGCGACACATCTCAAACTTTACCACTTCTAAGTAAAGGCAAAGGTACTTAAACGCCCGATCTTAAGTCTTAATTCCATTCACTTTTTTCTCTTTTTTGAATTAAGTATTCTGACTTAGGCGTCGGAGGGACGTTGGAAAAAACACTAACGGCCAGTCCTAACGCATGTTTTGTAGAAATAACACAAGGGAATTGAGACACCAGTTCTGGGATAAGACGCGACAGAAAGGTCAGTCGAAACCTAGAGGATTGGACGAGACACGACAGAGAGTTAATCACAACCCAAGACAGCCGCGGCAATAAAATATCTTATCAACGACGTCAAGTCTGGCCAACTGACGTGCAATTTCAGATATTGGGGGATCACCTCCCATGTATACAAACGTATAAGCACTTAAGCCTACTCAGCAAAAATAGCTGGAAAAATCCTCATTACGTTTTCAAATACAAAGAGCATTTTGGATAAATTCCTAAATTTTTTTTACTTGGTACTATCAACATACCTTTCAAGCTTGTATCTAAAGTTCAAATGTACGCAAGTCATGCACAAAGTCAATAAAACATGAAGCATTTTTTAGCATAAACATACGAGTCTAAGTTTTTGCAGGAAACAAAAGACTAACTGTCCCACGATAGCCAGTAAAAGCAGCATCCAAAAGCACAAACCTGGTCGCCCCATGACGACTAGTAAAATAAACTAAAATTCAACAAAGGGAAAGCAAGTTCAAAAGTTCAACAACAGGAAGAGACAACAGAAGTCAGGCGTCGACTTCTTCGACGTTATCCCCAGTACCGTCTCCTGGAGCAGCTTCAGCCGCGACATTGGCAGGGACGTCAAGGACCGAATCAACAAAGGTATCTTCGAGAGTCTTGACGCCAGACACAGCACCTTCCAACATCTCCTTGGAATCAGCTGTAGACTTTGCTTTGTCCCTTGGGGCATCATCCTCGGAAACCAAATCAGCCTCAGTGCCAAGAGAAGACAAGCATTTATCTAGCTCGTCCTGAGCAGCTTCCACAGTTAGTCGACCGGACTAGAAAAACTTCAATAGCTTAGCACGAGCCGTCAATTGATCGAGACACTTGGAGTTCACAACATCTTCACGAACCTCGACCAATGAAGCTTCCAAATCAACAATCTGCTTATCCTTCTGTTGAACCAAACCCTCTAAATCAGAAACGCGTTGTCCTCGTATCTCTAAAGCAGAAATTTGCTTGCCCTTCTCGTAGACAAGCTTCCTTAGCTTTTTCACCTCTTCCTCAGCCGCGCGCTTCTGGGTATTAATGGTGCCAACTGAAGAGCGAAGGGAAGTCATCTCCTTCTCATTTGAGATAAAATGTCCCCGAATAGCCAACAAATCTTGCAGGGACTATAAGAACGAATGAGTGAGAAAAAAAGATCAGAGCAAAGCAAGCCAAACTAGAGGAAGCGACAAGAGACAAGACAACTTACGTTCAGTTGAAGTGACACAGCCTCACTAACAATTTGCGCAGGGGACATCTTCTCTAGACACCTCTCAGCGCTAGGGAAAAGCAACCTCTCTGCAGACGGCCAAATTGACGCAGACATAGACGTGCCAGCAAGGAAGTCAGCAGGGACGCGAACCACGTAGTCGGATTCCTTGGGGCTTTCGGGATCTCCTTAGTACGAGGGCTAGACATCGTCTGAAGAGGATGCACGTCCAAGACCTCGTCAGCACCTCCCGCAGCTTGCTCCCTCTTCTTCGACGCACGTTCAAGCATCTCAGCATAGGACATCTTCTTGGACTTGCCAGATTGGGACTCTAAGAGAAAACAAACGCTAGAACACAATCCGTAAACACCCAAAAGACGCAATATGACTCAGGCAAAAGCAAAATCACCCAAAAAACCAATACCTGCAGCCATCCTTTGCGAATCTGTTTCCACGACGACACCTCCTACAGCGCTAGAAGAACGACCAAAAGATCGCTGAATAACAGGAATGCTCAGTACGGCTTCAACCTTCCTCAAACTCTTCTTTCCCGGAGAAACCACAACAACGTCGATATCTGCGACAAAG